ATTTAGCCAAATAAGAGCTCCATCCCTTAATAATATCTCTTAAATCAGCCAATGATATGTAATTTATCATGCTGTCATATACTATTGCCTTAAGGGATGGGATCTGAAGCTCGACGAGAAGCCAATGGTTACGTTCCAAAACATGGATAAACACCTGCAATCATAAGTAATAATTCATTCATTTGCGCACTTATTTATGAATACCTTTAAACTCAATCTAAAATAAACACTAACCTTATCGACCTCCCACCATGCAGGATAAAGTTTAGCTTGTCCATTGCCCAACGCAAATGATTCATCTCGTTGATTCTTCAAGTGAACTGCGTTAAAAGCCGTCGGCATTATTGTATACCGTGTATTTCTTTTATTTTCCTTAAGTTTCCTAATTATTAGTAGACGTGACACCCATGCATCGATATGCTGTTTTACAAAAAAATACATATATTAGTGAATTACATTAATTTTTAAACAAATTAATCAAATGAAAATATAAGAAAAATATAAGACTTACCCCTCCATCGAAATAGCCACTGTCTTCGACCCCTAATAATACGCCCCACCAAGACCGATCAAGCAAGAAATAGATATCATCATTGAGCTTGCATATGTCAGTGAAACACCCCTGGCTTCGCTTGTGTAGATAAAAATCAACTGCGGTCTTAGCCCAAAGGGTGTTATCCAGAATTGTGTCCGGTAGTTGTTTCCTCTCCTCTTCAGATACCGGTATGGTACTGGCCGGTAACTCATACGAGAGCCAACTTGAATCCATCATGTCCGGCACGTCAGAGGGTTTCTCAAGAATCCTACATATGACGCCATGTGAATCGGGCTCTTGAATGGTGGGAGGGACCTCTTCAACGATGACAGTGGCCTCTTGAACGGTGGGAGGGGACTCTCGAGGAATGATAGGGGCCTCTTCAACGATAGGAGTGGACTCTTGAGGGATGATAGGCGAGTCGAGCTTCTTCTTGCGGTGTCTTCGCACTATTGGGGTATACGGAGACTTAATAGCACGTGCACGCCGTCTGATGCGTGAACTCTGTCGTGCAAGAAAAACCCGACGTAAAGCATCCACCTTATCGGTCCGCTAAATAAAAATACAAATATCAGTAAATAAACATACATGATATTTAAACAGTGAAAACAAAGATAAATATATTTCAAACTTTCAACCAAAAGACAAAACAAAGACAAATACTAACTTCACAGTGTTAAAGTAAAAAGTTTAGCAGTTTTGGCAGCAACCGAATAAATTTACTAAGCAATCTAAGTGAAATGGTTAATTTAAGTGAAATTACGAGTAAATTTATCATCAAGTTAAATATGGAAAATCTTAAACTTACCTCGTTGCGTAGAGTATGAACCTCATTCTGCAACGATACTACCATCTCACGTAGACCGGCAACCTCACCACGTAAAGTAGACACCTCCACACGCCATGCACCATTGTTATCGCGTAGAGTACCGATCTCCTCACGCAAGGCATTGACCTCATCACGTAACTCCCTTGACTCATCCCGTGGAGGTGGAGAACAGGGAGATAGAAGTCGTGGCATCTTTGTCGGTCGCCTATCATGAGGTGATGGTGGAGAAGAGACTCGATGATGTGACGGGATAGGTGATGGCTCTCGTTGTAGAGGTGTATAGTCGGGTCGATCAGGTGATGGCTCTGGGTGAGGTGATGGCTCTCGAAGTGGAGGAAGTGGAGGCTGCTCATCATTCGTTCCATCAAAAAAACGCTGACTAGCTTGCCACCAATCTGTGGCAAGCTCAGCCTCCGTGGGTGTCAGTCTCATTAATGGAGTGTTGGCCTCCTAATAATATAAAAACTAAAACAAAGTTAAACGTCTACTATTAATAACTTGTTTATATATGATAGTATTTGTGTTACCTTACATTATTTATTGTCGCATATGGTATTAAGTCTTCCCAATCCAACATACGTTTCCTCTTCCAGGAAATAGCCCTAGGAATATCATCTGAGGATTTTAATGCATATGTCCGCATGCTGGGGAAAGCCTCGAATATCCAAATCTACAAACAATATAATAACAAACATTAGTAATTGTTAAATAATTAATTATAATTTTGAAAACATTATATAGAAATTCTTACCTTAAAGGCCCAAACAAAGCCTGACAAAGTGTATTTCGACCCATCGCCCCGCAAACTTTTGCGGTCATCAAAGGCAGACGACAACTTAGTCCAGGTAGCTTTCCATATATACGAACCCCACGGAAACAGATTCCATGCATTTAGGTCCTCTACCAATAATATTAGCTCCTGAGGAATAGGTTGTCTGGCCTCTCTACCTAGAAAGCCGGCATACAAAAGTAGTAGAAGGCATACTCGGACAACATCGACGTCATTCATCCGAGTAAAACCATCTTTCTTATTAAACAATTTCTTCATGTCGTCGACGTGTAAGTTCGGCTTCTCTATTGACTCATCAGGAAAAACCCTGGATAACCATAATGGGTGGGTGATATGACGAGTGTACCGGCCTACATCATCGTGTCCGAATCGTAGACCAGTGATTAAGCAGAACTCCTTCCGCCCAAAACAAGTATACGCCGGTGGAAAATGAAACCATATCTCTTCCTCACCACGTTGTATACTGTCGGGTAGATCGCTAGTCATGGTCTGAAGCCACAAATGGGTCAAACTAGCATCTCCACCCGGATGCTGTACTCTCAGCCATGGCCCGAAGCAGGTTTCTTCAAACAATTTTCTTTGTGCAGGTGAAAGCTTCGAAGCAATTGTAGTGGCTAGGCTAACTTTATTCCTTAATGTCAATAAAGCCGAAAAAAATTTCTACAAAAAAACAATAAACATACCAAGTTAGATATACCAAAAATTACACTGTCAAGATATACCAAAAACAAAACAATAAACATAAATAGTAGTTTATTCTTGAAACTAAAATTTGCAACACTGTTTCTGTCTTTTGGTTGAAATGAAAATCGCAACGAGATAATGAGAATCGCAACGCGGAAATGACTATCGCAACGAGAGAATCGCAACGCGAAATGACTATCGCGACCAGACAATCGCAACGCGAAATGAAAATCGCAACCGCGAAATGAAAATCGCAACGCGAAATGAAAATCGCAACGCGAAATGAAAATCGCAACGCGAAATGAAAATCGCAATGCGATTTTGGTTTCGCGTTGCGATTTTTATTTCTCGTTGCGATAGTCATTTCCGCGTTGCGATTCTCATTCTCGAAACTATTCTTCTTCTGCATTACTTCAACCAAAAGACAAAGCAAAGACAAATACTAACTTCACAGGCTAAACAGTTTAGCAGTATTGGCAGCAATCGAATGAATTTAATAAGAAATCTAAGTGAAATGGTTAATCTATTATTGAAATTACCAGTAAACTTATCATCAATCTCAATATGAAAAACCTAAAATAATGCAAAAATTTCAAAATAAAAATAAAAAAAAAACTAACCCTCGGAGGTTGATTTTCCATTTCTGAATGATTGTGAGGGATTTTTGACTGTGAATGGTTGTGAGGGATTTCGCCGGCGATGGGGACGGAAATCTTCGGAGATGGGGACGGATTTCGCCGTAGAGAGTGAGAGATGAAGATAGGACTGAGTGTTGTGTTTTTGGGTTTGAGGTTATGAGTTGCGATTACTGTGGACGGTTCATTTTCCGATTTATTAAGAAAAAATACGTGTTTGGAATTTGAAAAAAAAAATACGCGTTAATACGAATGGCGCTAAGTAAATCGCGTTGCGAAAGTCAGTATCGTGTTGCGAAAGTAAGTATCTCGTTGCGATTTTTTATTATCGCATTGCGATAGTCAGTGTCGCATTGCGATTTTCCCAATTCGCATTGCGAATTTCCCAATTCGCGTTGCGATTTACTTATTCGCATTGCGAATTGGGAAAATCGCAACGATACTGTAGACCATCGCAACGCGATTTTCAACTATCGCATTGCGAAAATGTAACGCGAATTTGCGATAATGGAGATCGCGTTGCGAATTAGCGATCGCATTGCGATTTTGTTGGTCATTTTGGCAAATCCGGAAAAAGTTGGTTAAAATCGTTATGAGATTTTTGGTCACTGAGGTTATTTTCTCTAAAAATTAAATTACTCAAAATAAAAATAAGACCATTTACATAAACAGTGTAGGACTAATTTCGTTTTTATGCCAATAAAATTCATATGTACTCACCTTATGTTTCTATGCTCACCGATCACCGTCACATCGATCAATTTCTCTAGCACGATGACCCTATAATTGAATTGAATAACTAATCCCTACAAGCGAATTTTTTTTAAACAATGCAGTGAGATTTTTTTTTATTTTTTAAAATAACGTTGTTTTTAGATTATTTATTCAAATAATGTGAATGTTACAATAAGAATCAGAGTCGTATTCCTGCAATTCATAGAAATCGCATTGCACTCTCTGCGATTCATGGTTTTGCATTACAAATTTATGGAAGTCGCATTGTGCTTCAGCTTGTCAAATTCCAATATTTTAATATATTTACCAAATATCTAACATAATATATGAATATATTTGACCTAGAAAGAATGATAAAGGTTTTCCCCCAAAATGATTAAGTTGGGGGAGACGCATTGCAATCATGATGTCTCCCCTATTTAAGTTTGAAGGTCGTATGATAATTGATGTATCTTCCGTAATTACTATAACAAATATCCCATTCAAACATATAATTTCAGAATTGTATTATTTTATGAATTTTTTTCATTCAAATTATTAAAAAGTATTTCCCCCTACAAGCCGGTGATAATTAAGTGAAAAAAGCAGCTTCCCATAGGAGTAAAATAATAACTAAAATTTTATTTATTTTAATATTTTCAATATATTTTAAAAAATCATTATAAATTTTCCTATATATAATTTTAAAAATATTATTTAAAAAAATTGATTGAAAAATGCAAAGAAAAGAAACCGAGTCTGCAAACGAGCTCTCTTGGAAATTCTTACCGGCATTTGAACGAAACAAATAGCCAATCTACCGTAGAATCGATCGTAAAAATAGACGAACAGCGTTAACCGCTTTCACAAACACTCAGAACGCCATTGCTAGCAAACACAGCAGAACCCCACGCGCCACCTTTACCATCTATCTCACTCGCTACCCATGGCGTCCCCCGCGACCATTCCGATGACAACCTCCCAATCTACGCCGGGTACTGGCGCCCAATCGCAGGCCCCGATAGCCACGCCTGCGTTTCGCGCATTCCTGTCGCGCCTTTCCTCATCGATCCGTCAGGGTCTCTCCCAACGCCGTCCATGGTACGAACTCATCGATCGGTCTGCCATGGGCCGTCCCGATAATCTAACCGACGCCTATTCCCGGATCCGCAAAAACCTCGCTTACTTCAAAGTCAATTACATAACTCTACTCGTGGTGGTGCTCGCTTTCTCTATCCTATCGCATCCCCTCTCTCTCCTCGTCCTCCTCGGCCTCCTTGCCGCTTGGGTCTTCCTATACCTCTTCCGACCGTCGGATCAGCCTGTCGTGTTCTTCGGCCGTACGTTCTCCGATCGCGAGACGCTTGGCGCTTTGGTGGTGTTGACCGTCTTCGTCGTCTTCTTGACCAGCGTTGGATCGCTCTTGATCTCTGCGCTCTTGGTCGGTGTCGCCATCGTTTGTTTACACGGTGCTTTTAGGGTTCCAGAAGACTTATTCTTGGACGATCAGGAGCCTGCGAACTCAGGATTCCTCTCATTCCTTGGCGGCGCCGCCTCCTCTGCTGCTGCTGCGGCAGCCCCTGCAGTTGCCTCACGCGTGTGAACAACAGGTCTTTCAAGCATGACATGCTTATGATTTTTTACTGCCAACCCTTGTGATAAATGGAATAGGATTTACTCTTTAGAATATTCAATTGTTGCTCTATATGTCCTTTTTATGTAGATTTGAATCTGAACTTGGATTAAGAGTTAGATCTTATGGTGTTTTGATTTGGATTCTGTATTAATTTCCTTCAGAATTTTTATTTTGATGAGATTTTGTTTTAAGTCGCTTACTACATATAATTGTCGAGGCTTTATGCTCTGCTGTTTTCAGGTCTGTGATAGGAATTTAGGAGGTTTTGGATGGAATTTCTGGTCAAATGATTTTAGGCATATTTGGGTCTTCATTTTTCTTGAAGTACATATGTTCTTGACTTTGTCCAATGAATCTTCAGACATGGGTCCGAGGAGATAACCCTTCAAGTATATGGGAAAGTTTATGAAATATTGAACGTACCCATGTAGGATGCACTTATACTCTGCATTCATGCTCAAAGTGTGAGTAACATAGGTGGGGGTTCCCAATTGAGAGGAGGTCCAATTCGGTGCTTTTGTGTATGTTTAATTTGGTTGATTTGCTTTGGTGTAAGATTCGAGCTGGTTAGCTGGTTTGTCCTGTACTGCTGCTCTGGTTTCTGCTTACAGATTCAATTGTGCATGTACTAGTTTACAAGAATGTCAGGCATCAATAGCTTGGGTGGTCAACATATTCAATGACTACTGACTAGATGATTCTATATGGATGATTCAATTATTGCGGTCTGACTGTCATATGATGAAGAGTCCTGGATCCTATGGGATTTCTCATCACCAATCATTATAATTGAGCTTGGACAGTGATAATTTTGAATTCGAGTTTGATTCCAAATTTATGGTTCGGTTCTTGGCTCGAGCTTGATCTGGTTGGCTCTTACGAGTCATAGTTGGGAGGTTAACATTACGCATGTGTATAGAGAAGGTAATAAACTGTTGATGATATGATTAAATTAATTTAGATTTTGTTCTTTTGATTATTAAGTTTTTCATGGTATATGTAGGGATGGCAATGGGTGACCGAGAAAAATACATTCTTCACCTTGATTTGATTAAACCGGAGAAACATATTTCCTCCATTTGAACTCAACTTGATCTTATATAAATATAAAAGAAATTATTTTTATTTAACAAAATATGGACATAATTAAAAATGATAGAAATAGAAAAAGAGGAAGAGCATAGTCGTGTGATGTCGTTTTCTAGACCGTACAAGAATCGGCTTCAAAACTCAAACATCATCCAACGGGTCTTAGGGATCATCTCAAAGACGCCATAAAACCATTAATTTATCAATTTCACACTTTTTTACATAAATATTTCAATATCTTATCTTAACCTCCTATCAACCAAAAGCCACTTCCTCGAAATCCTCACCAACCTTATCATTATCAAATTTTGATTTTTACTTACGATTCAAACAGTTTTTTCAATTTTCAATTTTATTATGGCAGTGATTATTAATCTCTTCTTAAAAAGATATATGGTTAAGTAAAAAAATACAATCATTTTCGAATTTTGTTTCTTTTTAATGTGGAATTGATTTACTTTATCACTGTGAAGCAATCCTCTCCATTTTGGAGCACTCAATTGATTTAAAGATTTTGATGCTAAAAGTGGGAAAATTCTACTGTACGGTACCTTTAATATAAGGTTAAGGTAAGGAGTTACTGATTTTGTTATTATTTTTTTAACAAAACTAGTAAAAATTACCTAAAATATTATTATTTCTACCTAAAACATTAATAATTTTTAACATTTCTGGTAAAGTTCCTAATAATAATAAAATCGGTAGAAAAAATAACAAAACCGGTAGCGTTTTACCGGATATGTTAACAAAACCGGTAAAGCGTACAATAATAACAAAATCGGTGAAAATAATAATGTTTTTTATAATCTTTTACCGGTTTTGTTAAAAAAATAATAACAAAATCGATAACGCATTATCTTAGCCTTATATTATAGGTGTCGCACGTGATACTTTTCCCTAAGAGTCCGTTTGGATCAAGGAATTTAACATTTCCAGCATGCATATTTGTTTCCTGATGAAGGATACCTATGTTTTGTTGGGAAATGATTCCCAAGTGAGAGTAATATTATAATACCAACATAATATTTTGGTGTTTTATACCTGGGATGTTATTCTCATATGTGTGTTAGGTTTTATTTTATTCCCGTCCTAAGGCTAAAATACCCCTCTTTTCCAACTTGCCTCTGCGCGATATTTTCTTCATCCCGTGCTGCGAAAAAATCATCGTTTCCCATCTCCCTTTTAGGTATTTGCTTGTGGCGTTGATATTTTCAACATTTAAAGAGATACGTTGAATGACACAATTTAAGAGGAATCCATGCAGTTACTTTTGTAGTAGATGTTAATGAATTGCTATGGTTTGATCTCGGTGTAAGGCTCGAGCGGCGTATATCTGAACTGAGAAATGAGTTGGCCGAGTGGGTTTTGGAGAAAGAGGAAGATGGTCGTGAAAGTTGCTTCATTTTCAATGCTTTTAGCAACACTGGCTGGTTGATGTAAGTTTAATGAATTTGAGTTTTTTTTTTTCGTTTTCAAATTTTGATCGTTGAAAGTAAATTTGGGTGTTTTTTGTTTTTGGGCAGATATGGTTCACTTCTTGATAGTTTTCTGGGAAGAGATGGATTGAGAGAGAAAATAAAAGGGGGGGTTATTGACTCAGGAGCAGACCCTTTTAATCCTAAGGTTTTGTTTTTTGTATGTTGATTCTTTGAGTTCTAATTATGATGCTTTGATGATAATTATAGTTTTTTCCTTGTGAATTTCAGTTTTGATCTTTATATCAAATTATGAATTTCAGATAAGTAACATGCAATGGAATTAATAAGATCCAAGCTTTGGGTTTTTAACTTGAGTTCTTTAGCTGATTTTACTGAAGATTTGGTCTTAAATGGCGTACAATGAAACTACTATGATTCAAGCTTATGCAAATTCAAATTGATGGACTGTGATTCATCTTGCCTTTATCCAAGAGAATGAGAATGAATCCAGATTCTAGTTGTGAACATTAGGAAATTTCTGCGTGTGGTAGCTCTATCAAATTAACATCCATGTATTGTGCTTTGTTTACTCAATTGTAAATCTAGATTTATGTACTACTAGCCGTATAAAAGACACTGAAATGCTTATGTCCGTCCTCGGGATGTTTGAATAATAAGCTTTCAACATTTTTATATCTCTACTTATTCCAAGTTTGTTTAGAGCTCTATCATACTATTTTGCTTTTCGCTAGCTCTATCGGTATCATTGAATGGAAGCTTCATTGATGGTTTATCATCCGGAGGGAAGAAAATGGATCTCATCTTATCCTAGAACACTTGCAATATTTAAGCTTGATTGTCGTTTTTGTTTTCAAAAATTTGGGAAATCATACATAACATCTCTAGCATTAAAACAAAAAACATAATTAAAATTCTTTGATCTTGTTTGCTGGTGTATAAGATCGTAGGTTCATTGTTCCAGCTTTGAACTTTGTAATTTCATTTGGATGAATTATATACTTGTTCTGGAAACTGGAAATACTGATGAGTCGCGTATTCTTTTCATTGCAGGTCTGGGCAGCCGGTTTAACTGCTGTTATACTGAAGAAACAGAGCTATTTAGTAAGTGGATTAGGAAGTGCAGTAACTGATTCGAAATTACAGAAAGAGGAACCTAGGATGATCGAAGCTGTGGTGCTATCTACCCTGGAAAAGTTCTTTGCTTCCATTCTAAATATGCCCGATGTGAACCGGTAGGTTTTCCCTTAAGCCATGTATTGGTTGTCTTACATTGTTAAATGGCCATAAATATGCTTTCATGCCAACATGCCATACAATGTAAACTCTACAACTATGATCAGATCTTGTGGTTGTGACAAATAACATATTGATACGAACCGGATATAAGAAAGTATATTTACTCATTTGCATAACTCGTGTTACTAGCCGAGTAAAATTGCCACAGTTTCTAATATTCAATATGAATTTCTTGCTAGCAGGTTCGTGTTCAACATTTATAAAGATGAAGGCAGGCCTGAGAATAAACAGACAATTTATCAAATTCCTCTTTTGGTCCCTAAGGTGATTACAGTACAAAATGTTGATATTGTTTGATCGTCTGTTATATCTCTGTTTGACCCTTGATCTTTTCAGGTGTCACAACAAAGAAATGGTAAAGAATGTGTGAACTTTGTTCTCTATTTCATAAAGTCATTTGTCGAATGCGCCCCGGAGAACTTTAGCATTGAAGGCTACCCTTTGTACATTCCTCGTTTAGTTTAAAAAGTGTATTGTTTTCAATTGTGGTTATAAGTATGATAATGAGGTACGAATTGGCTATTTTACTTTGCAGATGAAAAAGGATTGGTTCAGTGCTGAAGAAGTGGAACGCTTTTGTGAGAGGCTCGATTCTCCGGCATGTGATTTTCATTAACTTTAGAAATGACATTTTTTATGAGCCTTTTTTTATGTGACCGATTAGCTTAGATGTGAGTGTAGATTAGCATCTATGAACTCTTTGTACGAATCTAGTTTCATTTATGAAGCATATTTTTTCAAATGTGGATTATAAGTACTAATTGTCCATTTTACATTGCTGATGAAAAAGAACTGGTTCAATGCTGAAGCAGTGGAACGCTTTTGCAAGAGGCTTGATTCCTCATCAAGTGATTTACGTTAGTTTTATGTTTACAATATTGAGATTATATTTCTTGATGAACCTTTATTTATGTGATTGATTATAGCTTAAATGTGGATGTAGATCAACATATATTGATGAAAGAAATTAACGGCCTAGTATGTTCAAAGTTTGGCCTCTGTTGGGTTTTGTATGTTCAGAGAGAAATTACAGATTGGGAAACATGAATTATTGGGTTGCTTGCTTTTCGTAATCAAGAGTTAAGTACAAATCAGATTAGGACTGAGTATTAATAATTTTATTAAAATATTAGCAAAGATAATGATGAATGACGATGAAATATAAAATTATAGACAATATGATTTTTAGTGTTATATTTTCTTACTTATTTGAATTATGTTTTTGTAATATAAATTCATGAGATAAATAATAATGATAAAGTATGCAGAATTAAGTATAAATATAAAAGATAAATAAATCATTGTATATAGAAGATATAATAAATATTATATATTAGATAACAAAATTAATTTACATCTTTTTATTATTATGAATATCTATGAAGAATTTCCATAATGTAAACATTTAGTTAAATGTTGATGTAAAATTTTAATATATTTTTATATAAATTATGTAAAATTTAATATTAATTAAAATTAAAATAATACATTATATATTTAAATACTCAAGTAATATATTATCAACAAATAGAATTTTTATGTAAATAATTTTTATTTAAATATTTAGAATTTCACTTGTTAAAAAAATAAATATAGAACAAGGATAATTTGGTAAAATATACATTCCAATAATCTTTTATTCCTTCATTCAAATACTGTAATCTTACATTTATGCCAAACCAACCAAACACAGTAATGTAACATTCTCAGTAATCCTATTCCCTGATAATCTTTTATTCCCACTAGTAATCTTACATTCCGTGAACCAAAGGCACCCTAAAACTGAAATGAGGTTACTGATAAGATTCAAACTTTTAAGTGTCATTAATATAAGCAGCTGAACTAACCACAAGGACTAACCTTTGTCAATTGTAAACGCCATACAAACATATCAAGATTAAAATTTAAAAAATTATAAAATGATCATTAAATTATTATAAAATAGTTATTATACATTTAAAATAATGATAAATCTTGATAAGTTTATAAATTTTAATAATTATTTTTTAACTTTTAAAATTTCAATATTTAAAGTACTATTTGAGTATAATTTAGAAATATGATTCAAGAAACTATATTTAATACATGCTGAATCACAGCACTATTATAATCCTCTGCAGGTATCTCTTGGGTAGGTCCCATTTCAAAAAAGATAGCCGTTATAAGAGGAGCGCCAACAGCAATAAAAACACCCCATGGTTAGCACCAACAAAAAAAAAAAAACTAGCCGTTAGTCTAAGAGCCTCTGCTCCCTTATTGCATCTTGTTCACCAGACATTTGTCTGTTGTTTTCTTTTGTCCCAATACCGAAAGATTCTCTCTTTCAGATATCTTCACGTGGTGCTTCCCCAGTAAAACCCCATCTCTGTTAAACTTCATTTGATGATTTCAAACTTCACTTAAAATCCTCCCTTCTTCTTCTTCTTCTTCTTCTTCTTCTGTTTTTGTTAAGCTCCTTGCCACTCATTTAATGGCAATACAGGAACAAAAGGACAGACCAAAGGGTATTTCTCTTCTTACCCACATTTTGTTTATTCTTCACCTGCTTATTGTTTGCTTCTTCATCGAGCCGGTTTCAAGTGATCAAGGTTGGGACGGTGTTGTTGTCATAGCAGCTGATTTCCAAGCACTTCAAGCTTTCAAGCAAGAGCTAATTGATTCCAAAGGGTTCTTGAAAAGCTGGAATGATTCCGGCTATGGCGCTTGTTCCGGCGGTTGGGTTGGGATCAAGTGTGCAAAGGGTCAAGTCATTGTTATTCAACTTCCATGGAAAGGATTTGGTGGAAGAATCACTGAGAAAATCGGTCAGCTTCAAGCTCTTCGTAAGCTTAGCCTCCACGATAATCTCATCCAAGGCTCCATCCCTCGAGCATTAGGCATTCTTCCTGATCTTAGAGGTGTTCAACTCTTCAACAATCGGCTTTCGGGTTCGATCCCTGCTACATTAGGCTCATCCCTTTTTCTTCAAACTCTTGACCTTAGCAACAATTCACTCACCGGTGTAATCCCTGAGAGTCTTGCAAATTCTACTAAGCTTTATAGGCTCAATTTGAGCTTCAATTCGTTTTCGGGTTCAGTCCCGATTAGTTTCACTCGTTCGAGTTCTCTTATTTTCCTTGACCTCCAATACAACAACCTTTCTGGTCCAATCCCAGATTCTTGGGGTCACCAGAAGCTTTCCAGGCTTAGAAATTTAGACCTTTCTTATAATGCAATCAATGGAAGCTTGCCTGTTAGTCTCTCCAATCTTTCTTCTCTTGTTGTTTTAAACCTCGAAAGCAATGGCCTTGAAGACCAAATCCCAGAATCCATTGTCAATTTACATAACCTTTCAGTTCTTGTTCTGAAGAGAAACAAATTGAGAGGTCCAATTCCAGCATCTGTTGGGAACATTTCCAGTTTGACTAAACTTGATTTGTCTGAGAATAAGTTCATTGGTGAAATCCCATTTTCTCTTGCAAATCTCAAAGGTCTTAATTCTTTCAATGTCTCGTATAACAACTTATCTGGTCCTGTTCCAGCTCCACTGTCCCAAAAGTTCAATGGAAGCTCTTTTGTGGGGAATATTGAGTTATGTGGGTATAGTAGATCACCTCCATGCCCTTCTCCAGCACCTTTACAAAATCTACCTTCTTCGCCGTCTGCGAAACCCAGACATAAGAACAAAAAACTGAGCACCAAAGATATAATCCTGATTGCTGCTGGTGCACTTCTCATAATTCTTCTTGTTCTTTGTTTGATTTTGTTGTGTTGCTTGATTAGAAGAAGGGATGCATCGAAAGAAAAGGATGGTCGAACAACGACCCGAGCTGCTTCTGCTTCGGCTGCAGCGGCAAGAGTTGAGAAGGGGACTCCGCCTTCAGCTGGTGAAGTCGAAGCAGGAGGAGAAACTGGTGGGAAACTAGTTCATTTTGATGGTCCCATGGTGTTTGCTGCTGATGATCTTCTATGTGCCACTGCTGAGATTATGGGGAAAAGTACTTATGGGACTGTTTACAAGGCCACATTAGAGGATGGGAACCAGGTAGCAGTGAAGAGATTAAGAGAAAAGATTACCAAAGGCCAAAAGGAATTTGAAAGCGAGGTCAATCTACTAGGCCGAGTCCGGCACCCGAATCTTCTTGCATTGAGAGCTTATTACTTGGGACCTAAGGGAGAAAAGCTTCTTGTTTTCGATTACATGCCTAAAGGCAGTCTTGCAACATTCCTTCATGGTAAGTAAAATTCAAACTATTTAGACTAGTTAAAAGCTAATTATGTGTTCTAACATGGATTCTTGTGGCAGCTCGAGGGCCTGAGACCCCGGTTGATTGGCTGACAAGGATGAGAATAGCAAAGGGTGTTACAAGAGGGCTGGTGTACCTTCACACTCAAGAAAACATCATACATGGGAACCTTACATCAAGCAATGTCTTACTGGATGAGGATACAAATGCTAAAATAGCTGATTTCGGACTTTCTCGTCTAATGACAGCTGCGGCAAACGCAAATGTGATTGCAACCGCGGGAGCATTAGGTTACCGAGCACCGGAGCTTTCCAAGCTTAAGAAAGCCAACACAAAAACCGATGCCTATAGCCTTGGAGTTATCATCTTGGAACTCCTAACAGGGAAATCCCCTGGAGAGGCAATGAATGGAGTGGATTTGCCACAATGGGTTGCCTCCATAGTCAAAGAAGAGTGGACGAACGAAGTGTTTGATCTCGAGTTAATGAGGGATGCATCTTCCATTGGTGATGAGTTACTCAACACTTTGAAACTGGGTTTACATTGTGTCGATCCATCGCCATCGGCAAGACCCGAATTTCAACAGGTTCTCCAACAGCTAGAAGAGATTAGACCAGACACACCTGCTAGTTCTGTACCTTCTGGTGATGATGGAGCTGGTGTTCCTTCAACAAGCGAGTGACAAACAAGGGTTCATGTATTAGGCATTAGAGAGAGTATTTTTTATTCTTTTATTCTTACAAGAATATCTTTAGCTATTAATTTTGTGTGCCAATCCATGAGTCTTTCCATTCCCTGGAAAGACTAGGTCATTAGAAGTTGTCTGCAATTGATTCAGTAGAGAAAAGATTGTTTTTCAATTCAAATCGTTGGCCTCTTTGAAAGCATACATACATACATACATACATACATACATACATACATACATACATACATACATACATACATACATACATACATACATACATACATACATACATACATACATACATACATACATACATACATACATACATACATACATACATACATACATACATACATACATACGTACGTACGTACGTACGTACGTACATACATACATACATACATACATACATACATACATACATACATACATACATACATACATACATACATACATACATACATACATACATACATACATACATACATACATACATACATACATACATACATACATACATGCATGCATGCATACATACATACATACTTCTACAACAATGTAGCAGCGAATCCTATTTATTTCTGTTATGAAAAGAATACAACTGTTGTACGGAAACAGAGAGAAGAATACAACTATTTTTTAATGTTTTTTGTAATGAAAAGAATACAACTATAGAAAGAACAATGGAACAGAGGCAACTAGTTTCCCTAATGCAGAGAAAAATGACAAAAATATTAATAAAAAGAAATTGTAATAACCCTTCTTGTTGGTCTTATGATCATCACTAATTATAGTGTTTTTGGTGATGATGATGATAATTTGTCTCTAACAAATAGGCAAATCTGAAGGCGGTGGCTGTATGCTTTGTAATTCTCCAACTCCATTTTCAACAAGGAATGCCATTGCCAAACCCCAATTGATATGAACATCCAGGTGACAGTGCATTAGCCACACTCCTGTTATTACCATAACAGTTTCAATAAATGAAAACATGAAATGAATGATTCCATTAAAGAAAGACTAATTGAAATGATGTTCTTACCTGGATTATCAGCGACGAATCTAATGACTGCCCATCCATTCACCGGCACTCCAACCGTGTTCCTCAAAGGTGGATCAACAAGATTGAATTTAGAAGTATCTTTTTTAGGATTGAAGTTCCCGAAACCTTGTGCAATGATATAGAAATCGTATCCATGAAGATGGATCGGGTGATTCTCTGGTGTCACAATGCTTGTGTCTTGAATCACAATTTGTACCCTTGAACCATACTTCAGTTTGTACAACTTGGTTCCCGGAACAGGTTGAAAGAGCGATCGGCTCACGTTTCCGGTGTAATCGAATTTTAATGGAGGGGTTCCTGGGAAGTCTGTAGTGAAAACCCCTGGAATTCCTTGTTGGTGAGCTTGTAACAAAGAGAAGTTCCGTGGGAGCACAAATGAGACATTGTTCATGCTAGCTGTGAAACGTGTACCATTTGGTCCTTGGCAACGACTCTTGGGGAAATTCACTGGGCAGTTGTTGAGTCCAAGACCAACTGTGAAGAACAAGCTTTTGTCGATGTCAGTCGGGACTTCAGCCTTTTCTCGACTTCTAAAGCTTTGGCTGAAGGTTGTCACAGTGTTGGTATCATTGTAGGCCGGTAAAGAAGGCATGATTGGATTGGCTGCCTTGCATTTTTTGGTATTGCAGGAAGCCGATTTGTATTCAAGAATGGCGGTGGTGGTCGTGTTGCCGAATGGTGCATTTTGCGCACTTTGATAGGCTCGAGCTGCCATGTAATACCGAGATGGTTTCTGATCACCTCGGATAAGAACATCAGTGGTCTGGCCAGGGCCTAACATGAGGACAGAAGTGGTAAAGGGCTTGGTATAAGAAGCATCAGCACCAATAACAGTGAACTTATGGTTGGCTACTTTGAAGAAAAGAGGTTGGTTCAAGGCAGCATTGATGACTCGGAGGAGATTGGTCTCGCCGGAGTCGATGAGCACTATTGTAGTCTCTGCAAAAATATACGGAATTCAAGTTCGAATTTCAGTTATTATGGTTATGATCTTGAAAAAACCGGGGCACCGAATGAAAAAAAGGGACCAAAAATTACCTTTGCTGGAGCATTTGTAAAGATCCCCAGGTTGACCATTGATGGTATATGCATCTGAGACATTTGGAGCTGCCCCTGTCCTTGTTGCTTCTCTCACAACATCAATGGGGTTAGCATCCCACCATTCACCTGATCATAATCATCAAAACAACATTACATTTCATTTTGATCATCACAGTTACACTCATAGTCTAAAAGGAGTTGCAGATGCTAAGATGCCTTTTACCGAGAAGGATTGGTGTTTCGCGTTTCGGCTTAGGTAAAGGGTAGGATTCACCGTATCTGGGACGGATGATGAGAGCCCCATAAACGGTGGCTCTAAGCCATGAGCTGTGAGCATGCCACCACAATGTTCCCTCTTGGCCTTGAACCGTAAACCTGTATGTGTAACTTCTTCCTGGTCTAATCGGACACTGAGTCACAAATTCCGGTCCATCCGCCCATCCGCTTCTCATTTGCCGAACACCGTGCCTACATGTCAAATGTGCAAATGACCATATGTTAAAGAAAGTAATAACTGGAAGGATGATGACATGCATGAACGAAAGTGCAAAATTTTAGAATTACCAGTGGATGGTGACATTATACTTGGCTTTGTTGACAACAAGAACTTCAAGGGTGTCGCCATTGTTGATCTCCAAGGTTGGTCCAGGAAACATTCCATTGACAGTGATGGTGTTGTGAGTCTTGCACAGCCTCTTCACTTTCGCTGCTTCAATCTGTTTCATTCAGATCACCAACATCAACTCTTTGATCTAAATCAAATCAAAACAATGAAGAAATTAAGATCAAGAGAAAGAACGAAGACGTACAACAAATTTATGTCTATGAACATCAGCACTTGCAGACAACGCAGAACAAATGACAATGAAAACACCAAGGCAAATGAAGGAAAATGTCTTGAAGATCTCCATTTAATCAAAGCTTAGATAGCGAAAAGCTTTTCCTTTGGTAGTTTGAGGACTGATTTGAGATAAGAGAAAAGGGTATTTATAGGAAAGAGATATAGTTCAATCAGCTAGCTAGGCTGTTAAGCTACTACAGTCAAGTATTAGAAAGTAGGGATTTTTGAGACAATCAATTAGTTTAGGTCAAAAGTGTAGTTTTATTGGTTGGCAAAATAAAGAGAATTTGATTGTGTTCAACAGCATATGTATTAACGACACGTCTGGTGGAGACTTCAAGCAGCCATAGGTTGAAATTAGTTAGATTGTCATAAAACAGATGAGAGAAGATCTATGTAGGAAAATGTCTTTATATGCATGCTTGATCAACTACAAAAGATCATATATACTTGTTGCAGAATTGTATTAAGCGTAGCTTTTTAGTGTGTATTTAATACGGATACGTGTAGTGTTTTTCAGATTGTTCGTATTCGAATGATCTAACTTTCAATATTTATGTTCCTCGAGTATTGAAACAAGATTTTTTTTCTTTTAGATAATTTTATGCTACGGATAATGATGAGTAATCTATCGTGAAATGAAACATGAGAATGAATAAATAAGAGATTAAAAGACTTAAAATAAAAGAACTTACACGTGCCGCAACAAATATAAATATATATAGCTGTGCTAACATAAAATCATAGATAATAGACTTGTACCTTATCGTGAACTTAATGGATTTAATTCAAGAACCTTCGTATCATCGCATACCTTCATTTTCCTCTTAATTTATTTTTTATTAAATAAATCATACCATAATTTATTTGAATAAGGTCAAAAGAAATCAAGATCATAATTTTTAACATTTTGATTATTCAAATTATTTAATATGATAATGGTATAAGTAGAAATGATAATTTTCTCTCATAATATATTTCGATCCTCGAAATCGTTTATGTTTTTAGACTATTGTTATTGTTTTTGTTTTAGGTAACCCAATAAAATACTCCCCCAAGTTGTAATGAAAACAATCATAGAGTTGTGTCTGAAATAGACATTGGTTAGTTATTCATAAGCACCTACCAATACTGGAAGCTGTCACTGTCATAATAATGTAAGAACAAATATAGCTGATAATATACACATTACAAAGGCCAGATCCAAGTTTTAGGTGACGATGGTTAGTCTCTTTTAATACAAGCATTCATCTCTAAAAATAACAAACTAATAGATTTAATCGAGATTCGAAAAATAATAAATTTATTTATTTTAGTAGGAAATAAAACAAAATCTGAGCTTTTAAACTGTGTTACTATAATAAGTATAATGTTAAATATAATTTAATATATAGGAGATATATGAAGAGAAAGGGGATGGAAAAGGATTAGATAGGTGAACAATATTGGAGGAACAAAGAGTTGGTCAAGTTTGTTGCAGACTTGTCAATCTTAGCTGGTCATTTTCAGTGGTAGCAATAGGTAGTTGTAACTTTTTTTGGTATAATCTTAAATTTTGTCCTTAATATTTAATTGAATAGTCACTTTGGATCTTACTCTTTTTATAAATCACTTTAATCCTCCAAATTTTATTTTAATAATTTATTTTTATAAAAATTATTAATTAACTAATGATCAAGTTGTCTTATGTAGCTAAGCATATATGTCATATGACACATCGACACTTGAGTAGATATGATAATGCCATATAGATATACCACATTAGCGATAAATATTAACAGTTAATTAATTAACAATTCTTTTTCGAAGAATCATTATTGTGATGCTTCATTTCTTTTGAGAAACTTTTAACATATTAATACTTATAAATTTCTCTCAATTATTTTCTTTGGATATTGTTTGATTGAAAATACCATACCGACAGATGCTATCTATAGTGCTAATTTTAATTTAATTAACATAAAATTTTAATACTTTAAATTTCAAATTAGATTAATTCATTTCATTTATGAATGAATTTTTATTCCTATAATTGTATCAAAATTATTATTATTATTATTATTATTATTATTATTATTTATCAAAACAATTGATTATTATGATTGTGATTTGTCTAATTTTTTAAAATATTTTTAAATGTTAAAAATAATATTTTAATAATTCAAAATTTCATATATTAGAGGTGAAATGCAGACTTTATTATCCAACCAATTTGTAATTGAATACTTTGACCCCAAAAAAAATTCACCAAACAAACTAATTTAAATTATATTAGGAAAAGGTACCCAAAAGGATTGAATGCACCAGCTCACCAGAGCTGTTTTGTAATGCAATTCACACACTGCTAACTAGAAAGAGGAGCTAATTGAAGGAGCGTCTTAAATTTTCATTGACAACTTACATGTTTAGGCAAAACCTAAAACTTAGAAACGTTTTCTTCTCCTCCTAGTTCGTTCCATTGTCGATGTTTAAGGTTCGTAAATGTTTTTGTTAAGATAAATATTCTTTAGAGTACAATGTATCTTACCATTGCATCCAATACTTAAGAGTGTATTCAAATCACGAAGTGTAAGACTACTTGAAAATAAGATTACGGAAAACAGTCCTTTGAAACTTTATTATAATCAAAATTAGTTAGATGGTCATAAAACAGTTGAGAGAACATTCTCTGTGACAAAAGTTTAATGTGCACTCTGTCGTACATTGCTAGCGAATGCAAACCAAGTTTCATATTTGTCTTCCCTATTTCGTTAGTAACCAACAAATTAGCAGTGAAAACTTGACAAGTTTGGTTGTTTTATAATTTAGGCGACCAAACGAAATAAAGTTGGAGAATTTGGTCTGAAATCGCCTGGGGTTGACATCAGTTGGTTATTCATAAGCACCTGTCAATGTAAGAAACTGTCACTGTCAAAATAGTTTAACAACAAATAAGCAACTGAAGAATATGTCTTAGGAAAGAAGGAAAAAAATCATTTATGTTGAAGATTTAGCTTTGTTAGTTTAAGTGACAATGGTTAGTCTCTTTTGATATAAGCATTCATCTCTTAATCACCTAACCTAAAAAGAACCCCATCATTTATCGTAATTAACTCACAACAAGTAATAGGTACAGCTAATTGTTGGTGTAGTAATTGAAGTAAATATCGGAATATAAAGTATAAATATAAAAATATTGTTTACAGAGATTGGATGTACGATCGTACGTTTAAGAAATTTTGTTTAAAGAGAAGTCTGTTATAATATTCTTAGTACAAGAGATAGATTAACCTTAACTTAGTTCCACACTAATCGTAGGTGCTCTCTATATAATATTTTTTTCACCTATTATTTAATCTCTTGCTGATAACAAAGTAAACAACACTCGTAAAACACATACAAACAATATTTAATCTAAACCCTACTCGAAAATACAAGACTATTTATAACGGCAGCACATGACCTTGTAAATGAGTAGTTTGGAAGGAAATAAAATATCCAAGATATGCTTTAAATTTTGAGATTTTTTATCCCTTAAAATAGCTGGTCAAAGAAGAAATGTTCATAAAATAAAGATGACTTATCGAACAAGTAATCTCTAAGAAGTAATTTTGACTTTTCAAACAAGTTTTCTCGGAGAACAAGACTCTCTATCATCAATGTTTATCTCCGTAAGAATCTTCATCAAAGCGTATTAAATCTATCTTTGTTTGATTGAATAAGGAATTCACTCAAATAAATAAACTATGATATACTCGTTTTAAAATTTTAGAATTCTAAACTAATAAGGATTTTATGAAATAAACTTTATCTTATTCTATGAACCTCTGTTTATAGAGGGCTGTCGATGTTGGTTGAAGGGTGACAGTGAGTATAGTGATGCTTGCATTGGATAAAGAATCGTACAGATTTTCAAGAGGTTGACTGTATGATGGTGTTTTCTCCAATTTTCATTATGAATAGGGGTTATATAGATAGGGACGGTAGCAGAATTTTATGTTAGGGGGCGAATGTATAAAATTGTAGTATATCTCTGCAATTAATGAATAATCTGAATTGTTTTATCGACAATATCAAGAGAAATGAACAAAGCTGAATTCCAAAAGTAAAGGCTTCAAAATTACCATTAATGTGTTTTTTGTAATGAAAGAATACAACTATTGAAAGAAAACAATGTAGCAGCGGATGGAACTAGTTCCCAAATGCAGGGGAAAATAACCATGAATTTGTATGCCACTATTCAAATCACCAACAAATAGAAATACTAAAAAATTGAATTCTGTGTTAACATATAGGCAAATCTGGCGGAAGTGGTTGGATTGTCTGTAGTTCTCCGACTCCATTCTCAACAAGGAATGCCTTTGCCAAACCCCAATTGATATGAACATCCAGGTGATAGTGCTTTAGCCACACTCCTGTTATTACCAAAACAAAAACAAAATTAATGATTTCATCAAAGCAAGACTGGTTTTTTAATGATGTTTTTACCTGGATTATCAGCTACGAATCTAATGACTGCCCATCCATTAACCGGAACTCCCACTGTGTTCCTCAATGGCGGATCAACAAGATTGAATTTTGATGCGTCTGTTTTAGGATTGAAGTTCCTGAAACCTTCTGCTATGATATAGAAATCGTATCCATGAAGATGAATCGGGTGATTCTCTGGTGTCACAATGCTTGTCTTGTATCACGATTTGTACAACTCGGTTCCTTGAACCGGTTGAAAGAGCAATCGGCTCACGTTTCCGGTGGAATCGAATTTCAGCGGAGGAGTTCCTGGGAAATCTTGGGTGAACACCCCTGGAATTCCTTGTCGGTGAGCTTGTAACAATGAGAAGTTCCGTGGGAGAACGAAGGAGACATTGTTCATGCTAGCTGTGAAACTTGTACCGTTCTGTCCTTGACAATGATGCTTGCGGAAATTCGGTGGGCAGTTGTTGAGTACGAGACTGATTGTGAAGAACAGGTTTTTGTCGATATCGGTTGGGACTTCGACCTTTTCTCGACTTCTAAAGCTTTGGCTGAAGGCTGTGACAGTGTTGGTGTCATTGTAGGCTGTTAGAGAAGGCATAATTGGAGTGGCTGCCTTGCATTTTTTGGTATTGCAGGAAACCGATTTGTATTCAAGAATGACGGTGGTGGTCGTGTTGTCGAATGGTGCATTTTGCGCACTTTTGTATGCTCGAGCCGCCATGTAATATCGAGACGGTTTCTGATCACCTCGGATCAGAACATCAGTGGTCTGGCCAGGTCCTAACATGAGGACAGAAGTGGTAAAGGGTTTGGTATAGGAAGCATCAGCACCAAAACAGTGAGCTTATGATTTGCGACTTTGAAGAAAAGTGGTTGGTTCAAGACGGCATTGATGCTCGGAGGAGATTGGTCTCGCCGGAGTCGATGGGAACTATTGTAGTCTCTGTAAAAATATTGGGAATTCAAGTTTGAATTTCAGTTATTACGGTTAACACTCATTTTTAAGCAAGGGGATTAAGGAAATTACCTTTGGAGGAGCATTTATAGAGATCACCAGGTTGACCATTGATGGTATATGCGTCAGAGACATTTGGAGCTGCCCCTGTTCCTGTTGCTTCCCTCACTACATCAATGGGGTTAGCATCCCACCATTCACCTAATCATAATCATCAAAAGTATATAACATTTCAGTTTGATCATCATACTCATAGTTTAAAAGGAGTTGCAGATGCTAAGATGCCTTTTACCGAGAAGGATTGGTGTTTCACGTTTCAGCATAGGGAAAGGGTGGGATTCACTGTCTCTGGGACGGATGATAAGAGCTCCATAAACGGTGGCTCTAAGCCAAGAACTGTGAGCATGCCACCACAATGTTCCTTCTTGGCCTTGAACACGACCACCACCATCATTCTTGAATACAAATCGGTTTCCTGCAATACCAAAAAAAAGCAAGGCAGCCACTCCAATTATGCCTTCTTTACCAGCCTACAATGACACCAACACTGTCACAGCCTTCAGCCAAAGCTTTAGAAGTCGAGAAAAGGTCGAAGTCCCAACCAATATCGACGAAAACCTGCTCTTTACAATCGGTCTCGGACTCAACAACTGGCCACCGAATTTCCTCAAGCGTCATTGTCAAGAACCGAACGGTACACGTTTCACAGCTAGCATGAACAATGTCTCGTTCGTTCTCCCACGGAACTTCTCATTGTTACAAGCTCACCGACAAGGAATTCCAGGGGTGTTCACCCAAGATTTCCCAGGAACTCCTCCGCTGAAATTCGATTCCACCGGAAACGTGAGCCGATCGCTCTTTCAACCGGTTCAAGGAACCAAGTTGTACAAATCGTGATACAAGACACAAGCATTGTGACACCAGAGAATCACCCGATTCATCTTCATGGATACGATTTCTATATCATAGCAGAAGGTTTCGGGAACTTCAATCCTAAAACAGACACATCAAAATTCAATCTTGTTGATCCGCCATTGAGGAACACAGTGGGAGTTCCGGTGAATGGATGGGCAGTCATCAGATTCGTAGCTGATAATCCAGGTAAAAACATCATTAAAAAACCAGTCTTTCATTGATGAAATCATTAATTTTGTTTTTGTTTTGGCAATAACAGGAGTGTGGCTAACGCACTGTCACCTGGATGTTCATATCAATTGGGGTTTGGCAAAGGCATTCCTTGTTGAGAATGGAGTCGGAGAACTACAGACAATCCAACCGCCGCCACCAGATTTGCCTATATGTTAACACAGAATACATCATCATCACCAAAAACACTATAATTAGTGCAAATCATAAGCCCGACAAGATGGATTAATTGCAAAATTTTCTTTCTATAGTTGTATTCTTTCATTACAGTCTTTACAGAACATTCATGGTAATTTTGAAGCCTTTCTTTTTGGTATTCAGCCTTGTTTGTTTCTTTTGATACTGTTGTTAGAACAAAGATGATGAAGATTTGGAAGGTTAGTGAGTCAATATGGACAGGGACGGAATCAAAATAACAGCTCAAGAATAAAATATAAATTAACAATAAAAAGTAGGGGCAAAATAAAAATGATTTAAAATTTGAGGGTCCAACTATATATATATTCCTTTATATAATAGGGTGTAACAAAATGGAATTCTTACATCAGAAATGTTGTAAGTTGAAGAATAACAACAGGAACGCAATCTTAAGATATTTATTCTGCAGTTTTGGCTCTTACACCTATTCTTATTTTGTCAGTGAAATTATCCAAAGAATTTTGCTTTAACTAAAAAACAATTATGACGTGACGTTATAATGATTATTTATTGATACGGGTTCTTTTAATTATTAATACTTATGATTAATCAGAAAAAAGTTATTCTATTAGGTTTAAATGTTTATTTTAGTTTATTTATTACAAAAATATTTTAATTTTGTATTTGAAAATTTATTTTTTGTCTAAAAATTTGAAATTATTGTTAACTGATGTGAATATTTTTTAATCTCTTTCAATTTTAAATTTAAATAAACTAATATTTTAAAATATTTTTCTAATACTTTTTAAGTACGTATGAAATTTTAATAAAAACTCATTTTTATTCTAAGTTTAAATTTTGTTGTATTCATTTATTATAATATTATAATTACAAAATAAAAATATAAAAGTAAATTAGAATATTTAGTTAAAAATATACGCTGAGTTTTCTTAGAATTTTTAGATTTAAAGAAAGAGTTAGAGTTATATATGTATATATATATATATATAGAAGTCACTAATTTATTAAAAAGGAGAAAATATTTAAAAATACAATAAAATATAATTATGACATATTCCTATAATAATTTATACAAAAAACTAGCCACTTGAGATTATACAAGAAAAATGTTAAAATTTCAATAAAAAAAACTCGAACAAAAGTATATATGAACATATATGATTGTATCGACAAACGAACCACAATAAGATATCAAAGTATTAAAAGATCACTGATAATAATAAATCAAAGTCGAGTGTCGTGAGAATATTATTTTTGAACACAAATATCACATCCAAATTTAATCCAAGAATCAGCACGAAGATTGGTGTCCTCACGTGACAAACAAAGAAGGAAAATATCAAACAATTTAATAGTTTATTGGGATATTATTGTGACATTGTGGCGTAATGTATTGCCTATTACGATGTTATGTAATAGTTATAAATCGAACAAATCATGATGTGATTTTCTCATCATATAATGTTGATATTATGTTAAGTAATTTTCAAAACTGTTATAATGTCACCGTTATATTATATTATGTGATGATCCTAATTTAACACTATTTTAACTAATATAGATGAGTTCACATGCAGATAGCATTCACTAGTGCATCACTTGTAGTTGAATAACCCGCAATTTCCCCACTAACTTACCATTAGATTGACCAAGTTCAACAATGGTTAAACTAAAATAAAACGGTTAAAGTCATCATCCTTATCATTTTTGTAAGAATCAGAGGAAAAATGCAAACTTTTTCAATAATGAGAAGAAAGAAAGGTAAAAGATATTCCCAGTAAATTCAGCTTCAGTCACTGCAGTTATAATTTTTCATCCTACACGAGCTTCTGACCTACCTTGATGTAAAAAAATCCCATTTTTAATCAGCAAAATCCAGCACTTTTGGTGGTGGACCCTAAATATTATGCAAAGAAAACTCAACTACCAATGATGGTCAATCACCGCCGTCCATTCACAAAACCGTCATCCCCCATTAATACCCTCTTCTTCTTTCCTTATTTACCAAACTTACCATCCTTGCCTGCTACGTGCAGGGGCCACCTCTTTAACTTTTTGAGGTCATGTAAATTGCCAACATAAAGTCATTTACACAGAACCCCAGATTTTCAGACATATATTTTATTTATAGAACTCTTCGCCCCCACTCTCCTTGTCTATCTTTTCATCTCTCTCCCCCTTTTTTTCTCTCTCTTTCTTTCGGTGTTTCCATTCACTCATTTCTGTTCCTCACTTCATCCTGTGTTAAATAGTTGCAGTAATCTCTTTGGAATCTGATTTTGTTTAACACCCAGATTCAGTTTTCAGGTAAATGTTAACTTCAAGGTCTCATTTTTCTCCATTGATCTTCATGTTTTAAGCTATATTCAGTTCATTTGATCATCTCGAAGAGGGCTTCTTTGTGTTCATAGTGTTTATAGCAACAGTTTTGGAATTGAAATTTTGGTAAAACTTGAATTCAACCATGCATGAAATGGAGGGTTGTGTTTCTGTCAATCGTATAATCCACTTTTTATGGTAAAGTCTGATATTTCTTTTGCAGTTTTTTTTTCAACCCCCTTTCCTTGTCTGTGAAAATTATGTAGATTTTTACTTTATAGGGAAATATATCATTGATCCTGCTGTTTTTTTTTCAGGTAAAGTGAAACATTTACTGTCTACTAATACTAGTTTTACTGGAATTTTCATGGCATTCTTAACCTTGAAAGATGTTTGTTAGATTATTACTATTTCTATCAGTGTACTTTTTGCACTTCTTTTCCATGTAACCATGAGTTTGATTGTTGTTGGATGAGCTTCAAAATGGCTGGTTTTTAATAAAGTTTTGCAGATATACGTGATTGACTGATAACACAATGAGGAAAAGGCATTTATATTACCCGGAGCATTCGTTCGATGAATATCGTAAGCATTATTACCTCCTAACAATCAGCGTTTTCGGGTTCGAATCAGAACTCATCAGGTTTCACCAGCTTGTGTAGTTGAGTTATTTATCATGCATATTAGGTATATATTTGTGACATTTTGCTAGTAATGAAGGGGGATAGCCACTTAGTTTACGCTTGAAAGATCGAAAAAGGTCTGTATATGGAAGATCGATCCGTCCCGATCATTGAAGTAAATAATGATCTTCAAATGGTTGAAATTTTTACTTTGTTTAGAAGATCGATTCATCTTCATCTTGTCTCAACATGTTACATAATGGTACTGTCATTTCTCTCCACTGTTCTGTTTTTGTATTACCCTATTGATTTACTCCTGTGACAGCTTTCGAGGTCTTCATCGGAGACTCATGGCAAGCTGTGGAACTCATACGAATTAAGAAGGGATACATGACTCTACATATTATAGATGATCGATATTTGATCGAGAAGAAACCGTTCGCTGATTTTCGTGTTAGGTCTCGTAAGGCAACTTTGCCCGATTGCACTTGCTTCTTGAGGCCTGGTATTGATATATGCATCCTTTCCTGCCTAGAGCAGACAGAGAGTCAAGATGAAGAGACTCCGGAGCCTGTAAGACATACTTTCTTGCTTTTTTTAACATAGATGATTTCGGTTTCGATCTAATGATTTTGTTTCTGTTTTAGGTGTTGGTTGATGCTAAAATAAGTTCCATCGAGAGGAAGCCTCACGATTCCGAATGCTCATGCCAGTTCTACATAAACTTCTATGTTAACCGTGCTCCTCTCGGTTCCGAGAAAGGGGCTGTTAGCACAGGGACTAAAGTGGTAGGAATTGATCAGATTCGTATCCTACAAAAGCTCGAAAAACATCCTTGTGATGATCAGCACTATAGATGGAATGTCTCGGAGGACTGCTCGACACTGAAAAAAACTAAGATATTTTTGGGGAAATTCTCATCCGACATGTCGTGGCTGCTTGTTATGTCTGTTTTGAAGCAGATTGCATTCAATGTCAAGTCCGTGCAGAACAAGATTGTCTATCAAATTCTAGCTGAAGATGATGAGAATCCCTCGAGATATAATAATTATCTTCAGGCAGTAAATATCAAATCAGAGAATGGTATTTCTGTTTCCAATGTGGTCCAATTCGACCCCCTCGAAAATAATGGAGCCGGTGCAGCTTTTACTGCCGATGAGACCAAACAATGGTCGGTTTATGATGCTATGAACTTGCGACGCTCTAAACGCAGGTTTGTCCAACCGGAGCGTTTCGTTGGTCATGATGGTCCTCCAGGGACAGAGACTACATTTTATCTAACAGCTGCACATAGAATAAACATCCGCAGAGAAGAGGAAGATGAGCAAGATGCAGATATGGATTTGCCGATATCACACTTGTTATGCATGAATGCGAGTCCTTCGGAAGAACTTACCCTGTCTGAAACACGAGACGTCACATCGAACAATAATAATACACCAAAGGAGGTAATATCAGATGTGACTACTTCTAAGAAATCAAGTGGAAAACGTCGAGGGAGACCTCGTGCAACCAATCGGAGTAACCATCAGAATGATCTTGCTATAGTTCCTGTGTCTTCCGAAACCGATGCTCTAGCCTCTGGAAACTTTCATGTCCTGAGACGCCCAACAAGTTTATCGGAAGAGATCAAGGAACTCTCTACGTATTATTATAAAATGAAACGCTGCCGTGCGAACAAGCAGAAGAAAATTCCTGCTGTAGACTATATGGATGGTGAAAATGTGTGGAAGGGAAGACATCAACCAACTAAAGTACAGAGTAAAAGTTATCTATCTGCTCAAACACGAATGTATGATTTCGATGAACCGAAAACTTACAAACAGACAACTCTAAGTGTTGGTGCATACAATAAACTTATAAATTCATATATGAAGAATATTGATTCTACTTCCATAAAAGATGAGTCGCACGTTATTGACCGGTGGAATCAGTTTAAGGAAGCAAAAATCGCAGAAACGAGTAGAAAAACAGAACCAGAACAACCACAGGTTGAAGAGGAGGAAGAAATGTCGGAAAACGAAATGTTGTGGAGAGAAATGGAACTATGTATGGCATCAACTTACTTTGACGATGATGAGGTAGAGTTTTTCCAAACTTCTTATGGATTAAATTCTTGCTTTATGTGATAATCTGTTGATGCATATGTGCCTTTATAATTGAATGATTCTCAGGCTAGAGTATCAGCCGAGTCTCTTCGGAAAGCTAGTGAAAGTTGTCAGCATGAATTCAAGTTGGACGACGAAGTCGGGGTTCTATGTCGTATCTGTGGCTTTGTTAGCACTGAAATAAAACATGTTTCTGCACCATTTGTAAGTTTGAAACTCAAGACCGCAGCCTGTTCCAGTTACTGCTTTTTCTTTCGTCTCCTATGACTCCATTGTCTATATTTTTTTATTGCTCTACCAGATGTGTGATAGAATGTTCTCCATTTTCTAGCTTGAACGTAAAAGCTGGATAGCAGCAGACGGTAAAACGTGCTACGAAGATGAGCCGGAGCATAAAGCAGATGAAGAAGAGAGCTTGAATCTTTTCTGCAATTACTCGTCTGTAGGAACACCATTATCCGACGAAAGTGATAATGTATGGGCGCTGATCCCCGAACTTAGAAATAAGTTACACTTTCACCAGAAAAGGGCCTTTGAATTCCTATGGCTAAATATCGCAGGTTCTTTGATACCTCAACTTATGGAACCATCCTCGAAGAAAACGGGCGGCTGTGTAGTTTCTCATACACCGGGATCCGGTAAGACTTTTCTCATTATCGCATTCCTTACCAGCTACTTGAAATTATTCCCGGGAAAGAGGCCTTTGGTACTTGCTCCGAAGACAACTCTATATACTTGGTATAAGGAATTCATCAAGTGGGAAATCCCTGTACCGGTTCATTTAATTCATGGCCGTAGAAGTTATCGAGTCTTCAAGAATAACTCGATGAAGTTTCACGGAGTACCGAGACCTAGTCAAGATGTTATGCATGTTTTGGATTGTCTCGACAAAATACAGAAGTGGCATGCTCAACCGAGTGTTCTTGTCATGGGCTACACTTCGTTCTTGACGTTAATGCGAGAAGATGCAAAGTTCGAGTACCGAAAATTCATGGCTAAGGTGCTGCGTGAAAGTCCGGGGCTCCTGGTATTGGATGAGGGGCACAACCCAAGAAGTACTAAATCGAGATTGAGAAAGGTTTTGATGAAAGTCGAGACAGATCTGAGGATATTGCTTTCGGGTACATTATTTCAGAACAACTTCTGTGAATATTTTAACACCCTGTGCCTCGCAAGACCGAAATTTGTGCATGAAATTTTGAGGCAATTAGATTCGAAATACAAGAAAAAGAAGCGGTTCGACAAAGCTCGCTATTTGTTAGAAAACCGAGCAAGAAAATTCTTCCTAGACAAAATTGCTAGGAAGATTGATGCTAGTGTCGGAGATGAGAGGCTGCAAGGTCTTAACATGTTGAGGAACATCACAAACAGATTCATCGACGTGTATGAAGGCGGGAATTTCGACTGCCTCCCCGGTCTACAGATTTACACCCTGATGATGAACTCAACGGACATACAACGTGAGATTTTGGTAAAACTCCACAAAATAATGTCCACATATACTGGCTACCCATTGGAATTGGAACTTCTGATAACACTCGCTTCGATACATCCTAGTCTGGTCCGGACTTCAAACTGTAGTGCCAAATTTTTCAGTCCAGAAGAGTTGATGCAGCTTGAGACGATGAAGTTTGATTTCAGAAAAGGTTCCAAGGTCATGTTCGTTTTGAACCTTGTTTATCGAATCATTAAGAACGAAAAGGTTCTCATCTTCTGCCACAATATCGCCCCCATTAATTTGCTCGCGGATATGTTCGAGAGAATCTTCCGGTGGCGGAAGGGTAGAGAAATATTAGTCCTTACAGGAGACTTGGAGCTATTCGAGAGAGGAAGAGTGATGGACAAGTTCGAGGAACCAAGCGGTGCTTCAAGGGTACTAATCGCTTCGATTAACGCATGTGCCGAAGGCATTAGTTTGACAGCCGCATCACGGGTGATCTTATTGGATTCGGAATGGAACCCTTCCAAGACAAAGCAGGCTATTGCACGGGCTTTTCGCCCTGGTCAGCAAAAGGTTGTTTATGTGTATCAGCTATTGGCAACTGGAACACTCGAAGAGGACAAGTACCGTCGGACCACATGGAAAGAGTGGGTATCGAGCATGATATTTAGCGAAGCGTTCGTGGAAGATCCGTCTCAGTGGCAAGCAGAAAAGATCGAAGACGATGTATTGAGGGAGATAGTAGCAGAGGACAAAGTTAAATCATTCCATATGATCATGAAAAACGAAAAGGCTTCGACAGGTTGACGATCATAGCCTAGCTTCCCTCCACAGTAATAACTGTAAGAAACTGTCATTTTTATTAAAAAAAATTGTCGTCGAGTCCCCGTTAGGATCATTAAACTAATTCTGCAGCTTAACATTGTCTTTGGTTTTTACGTGTTTTCGTATTCGCGGACAGGAACTCTAAAGAGGAGGAACTCGAACCTCGACTCTTTAAGGAGAGACCAACAGGTAGGGCCAAAGTTGGATTGTTCTCTCTTCTGCTTGCTTGTATTATGTTTTCTGCAATGGACCATTATCATTGTGCTCTCTACAGGTAACAACTTGTAAAATGACAATGATCTTCCTGCTTTCTCATAATTCCCCTCTTCCGTCGAAGATATTTATGTTGCTTCGATATTCATGTCCGAGACATGAATACGGTATGCGATATGATCCTCCGAATACATGGAAAAATATTGGAACAAATGATTTCATTTCGGAATTATATATGATGCTTACGAGTTTATCAAAGCCATTATCATTCTGCAAAGTAGTACACACATATCTTTCTTTATATTTCCCATAAATTAACTGCCAAAACCATGACCTCAACGATTAAAAATTCGTATTTAAAAATGTCGATTTCATCCTAAATATTCCGGTTTTAACTCGGCTGATTAATGCATGCGTATGGTATTTGTTGATAAATCATTGCCTTATCTAATTTATTAATTCTACAAATACCATCTTTCTTTTTTATGTTAGGTTTAGGTTTTCTTTGTTCTGACAGTGCATGAAGACTTCAAATTTTTGAAGAAAAAAAAATAATTTAAGTTCTTGAATTTTTTGCACCGATTGAGTTTATGTATTTTAAAATTTTATGAAATTATTCTTTTGACTTACATTGATTGCTAAATTTAATATTTTTTTAATATACATTAGAAAATGTAACTTTTTATTGTTTCAAAAGTTTGAAGATGACTTTTTGGTCTTAAAGTCAAAGTTTTGAAAATGAAAAAAATTAATAGAATGTTCAAATAGGATAACACAAAATTAATAAAAAAAATAAACCTATATATACACATGCGTCGAAGAAAATCAGTATATATAAATGCAAAACTCTCTCTCCTAAGTGACATTATTGACGAATTAATTAATGAAAGAAAATCGACTTTCAGAACAATTAAAACGATTCAATATATATAGGGACGGGTCTACTTTCGGCATGAGAGGGGCCCTACCCTTTAATTTCTTTGGTTTAATGACAGTTTTAGTCCCTATTAGTTTAAATCTTATTCAATTTATGTCTTGTCCCTTAAATTTTATATTTAAATGTTTAATTCTTGATTTCGTATGTGTGTGTGTATATATATATGATGCACATTGGTTGAAGCAAATTGCTTAATTATTACTATGAACAAGTCTTAATCTTCTGCAAAAATTATATTGCATTAAAAAATAGTTTATTTTATTTTATTAGATTTGAAAATTAAATATGAATAGTCACTTTTTACTTCAGTTATTATCATTATTGTTGTAATATTTTAGGGCTTGTAAATTTGAATATATTTAAATATATAATATTTAATTTAAGGAAATTATGATAGTTTAAATATTTAATTTTAAAATGTAATTTAATATTCAATTTTTTGTACATTTAAATACGTGAACTTGAATATAAAGTTTGGTTCGATACTTAATTTTTTGGGGGTACAATTATGTATATCAACTTGAGTTTTTAATTTAAATTGATGCCTGAAATTCATTTTTATCTAAATTAATACTTACGATAAATGATTTATTTGGATTTTAAACTTAAATTTAAGTGCCAATTTAAATCTAAAAGTTAATTACAAATATTTGATTAAAAAATAAATATTAAATTATACTGTAAAATAAAATTCAAGTATCAAATATATATATATATATTGACCTTGATAAAAATAATAATATCAACATTCAACAACCAATGACAACAACCCAAAATTTTAATTAATTTAAAAGGAAAATAAATAAGAAAATGTGTGGAATCTTATAGTTTGAATAAAATCTTCCTAGACTAACTCCAAAGAAGCTGCAACTTGTCGATCCACTTGCAGTGTCCGGCGTAAGCCTATTTGGTTATTAAGAAAATACCCAAGAAAATCCTCAAAACCCTCCCTTTTTGATCTTATCGTATATATTCAAAACATGTTCTTCATTCCAATGCCACATCTTTCACCCTCAGATTAAGCCACCAACAACAATGCCTTCCTCTCTGCAGCTCCACCGCACCGCCGCCCCAGTCGACAGTTGTCACCACCAGAAACAACCTCAACCCGCTACAAGCTTTTTCCCTCTCCCCACCGGTGTCTCCTTTCCCGACATGGTCTCCGCTTACCATATTCACAACTCGGGTTCCGACCAGTGTTGCTCCGCCGTGGTTCAATCTATAAACGCCCCCGTGGAAACCGTCCGGTCGGTGGTTCGCCGTTTCGATAACCCTCAGGCTTACAAACACTTCCTCAAGAGTTGTCACGTCATCGTCGCTGACGGCAACGTAGGCAGCCTCCGTGAAGTCCACGTGATATCGGGTCTCCCCGCCGCCTTCAGTACCGAAAGACTCGAGATCCTCGACGATGAACATCACGTGCTTAGTTTTAGCGTCGTCGGCGGTGTTCATAGGTTGAACAATTACAGGTCTGTCACCAGTCTACACGCTTCAAACAAAGGTAACGGGACAGTTGTCATCGAGTCATTCGTCGTTGATATACCGCCTGGTAATACTAGAGAAGATGCATGCACTTTCGTTGATACTATTGTACGTTGCAACCTTCAATCTTTGGCTCAAATAGCTGAAAATATGGAAGCAAAAAAATAATCATCATCCCTATAATTATTTTGTTTTTAAATTAATTCTCTCGATCCCCTTTTTTTAAATATTAAATTCATCTGTGAATGACAACACATAAAATATCTGTTAGTAAAACTTTCGTATCAACATTCAGTGTTCGAAATAGAATCATGAAATTACCATACTGGTGTCAATGATCTAATGTAATATTTGTTTTTTTTTCTACTCCATTTTCTTTTATGTGAAGATTTTGTTCTGGTGAACACAGTCAATTTTATGTAATTATGAATGTATTTCCTTCTTTGTTTCAACGGAGAAATGCTTTTATTCTTGTGGTTGTTGTCATTTCCATTTGGTCAGTCAAAAAGTTATATAGATATTTATCTTTCCTTTATATCTCACCATGTTAAGTTTATGACTACGTTACATCATCAGTCATTAAATTTTAAGTTGTTTAATTTTAATTATAACATTAAATTTTAGCATGCATTTCAATTATGATATTGGGTCCTTAAATCGTTAATTAGCTATTAGATTTTTCGAGAACTCTAGAGAATATTAATCAAAGAGCTCCAATTTTATTTGATAGCAGTTGCACCAATTTATATGCATGAAGTCATGCATTACACGCCAGTAACAAACCTTACAGATGTTCATCCCCTACTAACAAACTAATAATTCCATACGGCACGCAATGACACGTAATAACCAGCTCCTGACAAACCACATGCTTCCTCTATACGTTAACATTAACGATGTAATGATATACTTGTTTCTTCTTTCTTTTTTCTACATGAGATTATCAACTCCTTTGACATCGACATTTACGACAAGATTTGTATCAAAACGGTGATATTTCACTCTTTTATTTTAGATTGGATTTTTTATAAAATTCACTTAAAATTTCTAAAGGTTTGATGTTCTAATGCCCTTATCTCTTTCTGCGACCTTTCGATGGAGTTAGTTTATAGATATATTATCCGAATTCTTGAAAGAATGTTTCTCACTTTGGATTTTTTAACAAACGTTTCAAAATCCTTAGATATGAGAAAGCCCACAAACCCCCAAAATGATGATTTTTTTATGTTTGATTTGTGAGTTTTAAATATATAATTTAGGAAAACTAAATCAATAAAGTTATAGAAGATGAATTCATCGGTGACCACGATGGTCATAAAAGACGTCGGAGAACGACCATTTATGACCATTGCTAACAATTGGTGAAAATCCCACTTTTTATGAAGAAGACGATGAGTGGAATAAAAATTATTTTTTAATTTCCAAATCATCCCATACCAACTTCCACGTCAACGCCAAACTATCATGTCACCCAACTATTAATGGTTTAATGGCCCAATGTCTCAATTGAAATGTAAACAAAAATTTAGTACTAAAATTGAAGCATTTTAAAGTTTAACACTAAAATTGATACACAACTTAAAGTTTAGTGACTAATGGTGTAGTTTACCCTAAATTTAATATTTTTTATAGTATTCTCTTGAAATCTATAATCCACCCTACAAGAAAAGAGGTTAAACAATCATATATTTAGAAAATATAAAATCAATTAATATATTTTTTTCAAAATTAAAATTTTACATATAAATTCAATAATTTATTTATATGTTTAGGGTAAACTAGACGTTTAGTACCCCAATTCAATAGTTTTAGTTTTATTTTGGTCACTGGTTATTAAAAAATTAAAGATGACGTTGATGTGTCAACATAAGGCAACTTCACATCAACTTTGAATTTTTTTTAAAAATATTACGTTAACAATTCTGTTAATTTTGTATTGGTGGGTGATTAAAATAAAACTAAAATATAACGTTAGGCGTGATTTTGAGAAAAAAATAGTTGGATGACTAAAATAAAATAAAAGTGATAATTGAGGTACTAAACTTATAGTTTACCCTATATTTTAATGTATAAACGAAAAATAAACAAATTCTAATATATATATATATATATTTGCTAGTTGAAGTGCAAGTGGGTGGAGAGAAAATTAAGAGAAAATAACTTCAGTGACCAAAATTTTCATATAATATACGATTTTAACCAATTTTTTCCGGATTTGCCAAAATGACCAACAAAATCGCAATGCGATCGCTAATTCGCAACGCGATCTCCATTATCGCAAATCAGTTTCCAGATTCGCAATGCGATTATGACTATCGCAATGCGATTTTCCAATTTCGCGTTGCGATTTTCCCAATTCGCAATGCAAATTTGGAAAATCGCAACGCGATACTGGCTATCGCAATGCGATACTGACTTTCGCAACGCGATACTTACTTTCGCAACGAGATAATACATAATCGCAATGCGATTTTCAAAGCGCCATTAGTATCGCAAAGCGTATTTTATTTTCAAATTCCAAACACGAATATTAATATATTGGAACACTGAACCGTCCACAGTATATCCCGTAATCGCAACTCATAACCTAAAACCTAAAATCACAACTCAGCCCCATCTCCATCTCTCACTCTCTCACCCATCTCCGACGAAATCCGTCCCCATCTCCGGCGAAATCCGTCTATCTCCATCTCTCAGAGCCACCCTCACAATCAGAAATGGAAAATCAACCAAATCAACCACCGAGGGTTAGTTTTTTTAATTATTTTCTTTTTGA